AAGCCGAGAGAGGAATAAGCTGGAGACCGTGGCAGACGGATAGAAGGGACTGCCACTCTCCAATGGCATGCTGCATTCGGGGATGCCAGCCAGTACTGGAAGAGAACAGAGCAGAAAAGGAAGAAAACCTCGTAGACAGCTTAGGTAGAAGGGAGGGCTCTGAAAACTGAACTCTTCTTTCCTGTGGTCTCTAAAGAATCCAGCCATGACCATCAGGCCACTCTGGACTACATCACCCTTACTAGGAAGGTCTATTTCTCAACTACCCAAACCCAGATTCATGGCTGTCATGATAATCATTTATCAAAATCACAGCTATGAGCCCCCACTTATATATCTCTTCATATCAGACCAAGACAGATTAATTCAAATTCAATATGAATTCAAAGTAAAGACATTTAATCAAAACAGATTAACACATTAATAGCAAAGAATTGGATCAAACACTCTCAATGTTGGTTTTTTGTTGTTCAGTCATTTCAGTCACGTCCAACTCTTTGTGACCCTATTTGGGGTTTTCTTGGTAAAAGATACTGAAGTGCTTTGCCATCTCCTTCTCCAGCTCGTTTTCTAGATGAGAAAACCTAACTTTCTAGGTTAAATGACTTGCTCAGGGTCACACAGCTACTAAGAGTCTGAGGCCAGATTTGGATTCAGGTCTTCCTGACTCCAAGCTCTATCCACTTCACCACCTAGTTGCCCCCAAACCTTAATATTCATTCCCAAAGAGCTGCTACTCTCAGTATGTCTCCCAAGAGGACTATTCAGCTCCCACTCAGTTGGGAGTTAACTAAGTTAATTGAGTTAACTAAGTAACAACTTAGTTATTTACCTTAGTTATGTAGTAACTTCTTTACTTAGTAACTTAATAGTTACTTAGTTACTTACAACTTATTTAGTAACAACTTAGTTATTTACCTTAATAATTTAGTTGCTTAGTAACTTAGTTACTTATAATTTATTTAGTATCAACTTAGTTACTAAGTAACTTAACTTAGTTACCTTAGTTATATACTTAGTAACTTAGTCATTTAACTTAGTTACTTACCTTTATGATAAACAGGTGATAATCCTAGCTCCTCAAAAAATACTTCTGTCTGTCTGTCTCTGTCTCTCTCCCCTCTCCCTCCCGTCCCCCTTCTCCATCTCTCTCTGTCTCTGTCACTGTCAGTCTGTCTGTCTCTCTGTCTCTGCTCTCTCTGTCTCTGTCTCTCTCTGTCTCTGTCTCTGTCTCTCTCTCTCTCTCTCTCTGTCTGTCTTTCTGTCTCTCTCCCCCCACCCTGCTTTCCCTAGAAAAACTGTAGTTGGTAGTTACCCCACCCAAGCTATTTCAGGTCACTGGGGATAACAACTTTTGACAGACAAGGTGTCTGACTTGCCATAAATAGGGGGATGATAGAGGTTGGAGGGGGTTAGGGCTGGCCATCAAGAATTCATTGTTGGACAATATCATGGTGGTCTAAGTATTTGCTGGCCCCAAATCCCCTTCACTGGCTACTTGTGGCCATTCCTCAAGGTTCAGGCCTTGGCCCTCTACTCTCCCTCAGAGAACTTGTCTGTTTCCAGAGCTTCAGAGATCCCCTCTATGCTATGATGCCAGCTGTCCCTCTAGCCTTTTGCCAGCACCACTCCTGTATCTCCAACTAGTCCTAGAATATTCAAATTAACTGTAAGAGGTCTTAGCCATCTCTTCCTGAACATCTCCCTCTTACATCACCCTCAACCTGTGGGCTTGGATGTGACACTAACTCACTCCAGAAAGGGATGGCCAAGGTCTTGAGGAATCTAGAAAACATGCCAAATAGAAACCAGTTGAAGCAATTTGGGAATATTTAGCCTGGAGAAGAGAAAACTTAAGGAGGACAAGATGCTTTTCTTTAAGTTTCCTAGGAGCTGTCCCACAGAAGAGGCATTAGACTTTTTCTGCTTGACTCCAAAAGGCAAAACCAGGACCAATGGGTACAGATTTTTTTCTTCAGAATAAGAAAGAACTTCCTAACAGTTGAGGCTTTTAAATAAGAGAATGGGCTGGCTTGTGAGGTCCATCACTGGAAGTGTTCAAACAGAAACAGGATGGCCACCTTTATAGAGTAAATTCACACTTCAGGTAGGGGTCAGACTAGACGACCAAGCTAGGGATCTGTGGCCCTTCCAATTTCAAGATTCTGTGATTCTAGGTGGGCCTTGAGCTGGGCCTGAGGTTTTAGGTGCCGGAGGAAGGCAGGTGCCAAGGATTATTAATAGGCCCTACTTGATCGGCCCAGAGAGGGTGAATGTGATACAGGCACCAGGCACCATGGCCTGGGAGTATCTGACACCAGTGGGGGAGGGCAAGAAGAGAGGGAGAACCACTCGCCCAAAATAGCTGGACCCCAGGAGCCTATATAGGAAGAGATCCTGCCTTGGGGCTTAGCTTCCCTTGACCACCTCCTGTCTCCCTCTCAGTGCCTTGAGTCAGCCTGTGCTCCCCACCCCAATCCAAGGTGAGTGGAACAGCCACCAGAGACTGGAGGATGTGACTGAAGAAGGGAGGGGGAGGATCCTGGAGGATGGGGAGGATAAAGGAGTCGCCCTTTATCTAGATGCAGCTAGAGGAAGAATGGAGCAGAAGTGACTCCAGACTCAATGGGCCGAAGGAAAAAGACAGCAGAAAGTCAAAGTGAAAGGAACAGAGAAACAAGGCAGTGTAATATGGTGGAATGGAGGCTGGTTGGGTGTCAGGACAACTTGGGATCCAATCCAGCTTCTACTGCTACCTTGTGAAGGGGCAGGAAGGTTGCTTACTCACCTATAAAATGGGAGGGGGTGGTGGAGCCAGACTAGGTGATTTCACAGGTCCCTTCTTATTTTTGCCTTCTATGGTTCTATGGCCAGCTCCAACAGGTGCCTAGGCAGTAGGGTGGCCTGAGAGGATACAGCTAGAGAAAAGGCAAGATGCCCCAGAGAATGGCAAGCTGGACAGAAAGAGGAGGAAAAGAATAGAGGGATGAGGAAGACTCTTTCCCAGTTGGGAACTTGGGTAGATCTGTAGCAGAGATTTTGTGGGTTAAAGTTGGCTAGAAGCTCCAGAAAGAGCAGCAGTGGGTGTCCAGTTGTAAGGGGCTAAAGAGCACCTCTGACCTCCCAGCTTTCTCTTCTCACCCCTCCCCCTAGGCCCCTCACAAACTCCCCAGGACTGACTCTTGAGTTCTAAATAAATTTCATGGTGTTGTGGAACAGGAGATAGTCTGGGAGTCTGAAGATGGGGGGCGGGGGGAGCAGAGGTTTACAGCCATGTTGGGAGGGCTTGCACAAGGCACTTCATCTCTTGGATCTCAGTTTTCTTTTCTGTGAAGTAGATGGCCTTTGAGGTCCTCTTTTCCAGCTGTGACATCCTTTGATTCTAAGCAGTGATAGAGGTAGGCCTGTGTGGGTGAGGAGTGGGTTAAGTAGATGTGAGGATGGGGTGAGGTAGGTGACCCTTTCCCACCCCTCCCTCTTGGCTCAGATTCTCTATAGTTTCAGAGAAGGAGGTTGGAAGAGGGGACTGGAGGTGGTGTTGGTAGCAGCTACAGCTGCAGAATTTGGGGGAAAGGCAGAATGCCAGGGGATATCAGGTCAAAAGCTTTAGCCTGTGCCCCATCCATGCCAGCTGGCTGGGCTGGTAGGGTCCAAAGGGGCTGACTCACCTAAAGCATGCCTGACAGGCAAGCTTGCTAAGGTTCCCAGTTCAGGGCAGCTGGCTGTCCAGTGGCCCAGCATGGACAGAGGGGAGGGGCAGGGCCAACAAGAGGGAAAAGCACAAAAAGAGTCAACCAACCCATCCCTTCCCCTCCTACCAGCTCTTGGGCTTCCTTGGCCCTTTTCCACCACTACCCTTCATCACCCAAGGACGACTTGGGAAAAAGGATGATAGAATCATGGAGATGGAGATGGAAGGGATGTCAGAGGCCATCAAAGCCACCCCCCTCATTTCACAGGTGAAGAAACTGGGACCCAAAGAGGGCAGGTGACTTGCTCAATCAGGGTCACATAGCTAATAAGTATCTGCAGTGGGATTTGAACCTAGTTTTCTCTGACTCCAAGCCTAGTAACCTCTCCAGTAGAGTATGGTGCCTCCTCAAAATATGCTGGAAGGTGTCATTGTCCCTTTGGGATCTCTGATCTTGCCCAGAGGTTCAGCACTCATGAGAAAGGCCTAGAAGTCAGGAGAACTGGGGTGGGGGGAGCTGGAATGAGCCTGACAAATGGCCCAGAAAAGGACAATGACTTGACTAATGTGGGTCACAAAGGGTACTGGCAGCAGAGTCAAGACTAGGACCCAAGTCTTTTCCTTAGGTTGGGGGATGAAGGGAACCCAGTTCCCAACACCCTGAGGAGAAATGGATAAGGGCTGAAGACCATCTCTCTTTGGATCTCATGTCATTCCATAAACAAGTGGAGAAATAGAGTTTCATGAGCCAGGGACAGTGCCCTCCACCAGCTGGAAAAGAGCTCTTTTCTGGAGGGCGTTGTGTTCTCCAAAATGCTTCAATCTGCAGAGAAGCCCTGCCCCAAATCCCCCCACATAAGCGTCCTTGTCCTGCTTGCCACCAGCCTGGGTGAAGGACCCTGCCTGCCCACAGGATGGAGAAGGAGAGGGGGCACAGCCCGGGCGAAAGACTTGGGGACAAATTGCAGCCCCATAGACTCGGGACCAGCGATTTCCCTTCCCTTGTACCTCTAAATCTTACGAGGTCCCTGAACTTCAGTTTTCTCTTTGGTAAAAGGCTGGAACTACACTGGATCAGCTCTAAGTTTCCTTCAGGGCTAAATCCTACCATGCTACGATCTCTCGGAGCCTCCATTTCCTTATCTGTAAAGAGAGATTCGTCCTGGATGACTTCCTAATTCTCTTCCGTTTTGAGCTACTTCCCCCCCCCCCACCGACATACTTGCTGTAGGCAGATAAAGGAAGGGAAACCTTCTGGATCCCCAAGAAGTGATTAGGAGCAGAAATCTAGTGTTGAAAGGGACTTCGGAGGTCATCTAGTTAACCAATTCACTTTGCAGACGTGAGGAAACTGAGAAAAGGTGAGTGACTTGTCCAAGGTCACACAGCAACCTTTAGAAGAGGCAGATTTCAAACTGAGGTCCCCAGACTCCAAATGCAGCATGCTATGCCCTTACTGAGGTCAGCAGGGACTTCGGAAACAGATCCCTTTGGTGAACTACACTCCCAGACTCAGGGGAAAGGAGTTGGGGGGGGGGGGGTTGGAAGCAATCTACTGCCCCTGACTACCTGAGTGTGGATCTCGGAACAGGAAGGGTAAAGAAAAGAGAGCATCTTCAGGTTAAAAAGAAAAAAGAAAAGCCTCCAAATTTGCCCTCTAATGAATGTTAAAGATGCAAAGTCAAACTACAAAGGCACCAAAGAGCCGGAAAAGGGGGACGGTGGGGCGGAGAGTGGTGTCCGAACCTCAGAAGGGGCAGCAAGTTTAATTTTGAGGCTTGGGAGTCTTGAGACTGGTAGCTGCAGGGGCCAAACGGATTCTTGAAGCGGCCCAAGGCCGGCAGAACAAAGTCAGGCCGGGCAAGGGGCGCGGAGCTGCCCACGGCGCTGGCAGGGTGGTCTCCTTTCCAGAATCCAGCTCGGGCTCCTGTCTTAGCCTAGCCAGGAAGAGAGGGAGTGGAAGGAAGAGAGTTGAGTGGAGGGGGGCTGATGCGGACTGGGAAGGGGGACTTGCTGCAGTCTTGGCGCCCTCTCTGCCCACTGAGCCCAGGGACAAGGCGCCCTCGGGGCCGGGCCGGGCGGGGAAGCAGGGTGGTCTGCTCCGGACGGTCCAGGGCAGCACCACCTCCGTGCCCTTGACCGAGCCGTGTCTGGTGTGCCCGCCCGGGCTCCTCCCGGCCCCTCAGGGAGGCCTCGGGGGGACCAGGGTCCCCCCCACCACCACCCTTTCCTCGACGCCCCGGGGCTGGGCCTTGGAGCGAGCCTGGCCCAGTGCCAGCCTCCCGCCCTCGCCCTCCCCGGCGCGCGGCCTCGGCGCAGCATTGCAGCGCTGGTCATATGAGCAGGACGCTGAGGGAGGCACTTTTTAATCTTTTCGTACTTGCTCGCCTAGCCCGCTCCGATCCACACCGGCAGCATGTCGATCACAGACTTGCTCGGCGCAGAGGACGTTAAGAAGGCGGTGGCAGCCTTTGCAGGTGAGCCGCTTCTTCCCCACCCCTCCCCATCCCATCCTCTTCCACTCTGTCGCCTTTCCCCCATGCCCCATCTCCTCCCCTCAGCAGCCCTCTGCCCCAGCATCCCGAGCATCCTCGCCCACGCAGCCCGGAGACTGAAGGGACCTGGGCTGCATCCAGCAGGGAGTTTGGTAAGGGGACCGGAGGACGCAGTAGTGCTCGGGACAAGGAGGACCCAGGCGTCTCCGGGAGCGCGCTGGCCAGCTCCATGGGTCCTGTCTGCCACGAGCTTCTCGTCCTCAGAAACTTCCCCGCACTCGGAAGGAACTGAGCCGGGGTGCGTGTTCATGCCGGTAGCCATGCCCTAGTGAGTGCCCGGGCTAGCTTGGCCAGGAGTCCAGGGCGACCCTGCTCCAGGGGTAAGAGTGGGGACCTGAAAAGGGTAGAAAAAGGGGGTGCTGGGACCAAAGCCAAACACTGGCCCCATCCCAGGAGGCATTAAGCCCAGATGCAGGAGCTAAGTGGATGCTGTGAATTCTCATCTCTACCCAAGTGACATGGAGGAGACAGTGTCCAGCCAGGGATCCGAGCCCCTTCTCCCTTCTGGCAACTCAAGATTCAATTCCCTCCATTTTTTAACAATGCACCCCCTTCCCTCATCTCACCTCTCAGTTCAAAGAACCCCTTCTCCTTTCTGGCAACTAAGAAACTCCAATTCCCTCCATTTTTTCACTATGCACCCCCTTCCTTCATCTCACCTCCCCTTTCCTGAGCTAAGGTACCCTAGTCTCCCAAATGCACAGAGCGTATTTCGGGCTTCATCTCTTGCACCACCACCCCCAGCATCACCTCTCTTCTGAGCTGTCCAAGACTGGACACCAGGGAGATGACCTTCCCAAACCCATTGGAGCTTTGAGCTCAGCTAATACATGGACTGTTCAGGGCTATTCTCTCAGCAGCCAACTTTGGGCCCAAAAAGAGAATGGAAAATGGGTTGAGGGCTCTCCATGCCTGTCCCCCTTTTTCTCTTCCCAAGTTCTCCCAGTTTAGGAAGCTCTGACCAGCATCCTTGAACCTTGCCCCTCATTCAGTTCCGAACCCACCTACAACTTTCTCCCAGGACCCCCAAACCCTATCTCTAAGTCAGCCAGTCCAGCTCTATGCCCACCCCCATGCATCCTCTCCCAGCCATTCCAAGGGTGGGAACCAGGTCCAGATGGTGGGCATCTTTGTCTTGATGTCCTGGGGGAACTGCCCTCTAGCCTTCTCCTGTCTAACTCCAAGATCACATAATTGTGGCTACCCTGATTTCTCTGGTACCTCCTAAGATACCTTGTGAGAGCCTAGGATAGCCAGCTTAGCCCAGGATGGGGTGCTAAGAGCCCCTAGCTCTCCCTTCTCAGCATCATCTCCTAGTCTTACTGTTTGACCTTGAGAGAGCTGCTTACCCTCTCTGTTCCTATTTTCTTCACTCTGCCACAGGAAGCAAACTAAGAAGCCTTAGCTCCTTCCACCCCACCCCCATAAGAGCCCTGGATTCAGAATCAGAGGATCTGGGTTCAAATCCTTCCCCTGCCACTTACTAGCTATGTAACCTGAACTTAGAGAAGTCATTTCATTTCTCCTGGGCTGAAGATGAGGGGGACTGGTCCAGATGACCTCTAAGATTCTTTACAATTCTCAATCTACGGTCCTATGATCTCGCCTTCAGCCACTCCACCCCCCTCCCAATACTTTATTGAACTGAGATTCTGGAGGCAAAAAGTGTCCAGGTCCCCTTTTAGTTAAGATTCCCCTCCCCCCACCTCCCCATCCATGTAGGGCACCCTTCCGAGAGCAGTCCCCGTTGCCTGGGCTCGGAGACGCTCCCTGCTGCAGAACACCGTATGTCTCCTGCCTCCCGTCCTGATTAACTGCCCTGCTCCCTGCAGCTGCTGAGTCCTTCAACCACAAGAAGTTCTTCGAGATGGTGGGTTTGAAGAAGAAGAGCAAGCAGGATGTGGAGAAGGTGTTCCACATCCTGGATAAGGACAAGAGCGGCTTCATCGAGGAGGATGAGCTCAAGTGAGCCGGCCTGCCCCTCCCCCACCCCCAGGGCTGGGAGGCTTTTAAGGGGACGTAGGAGGTTGGGGGGGGGGCTGCTTCCTGGCCAGGGGCACCCGTCAAAAAGATGGGCCTGGCCACCTCCATCTGCACACTTTTCTGGCAGCAATCAGTCCGCAGCTACCGAGGGAGCCAGACCTAATGGGCTGGAAGACAAGGGCTTCCTCTCCCTCCCATTTCAGGGAAGGCTAAGGTCATTGGAAGAGGGCAGGACTAACTGGGTTAAGTTGGAGGCATTTAATATTTCTAATGGAATGATGTTGTTCAATAATTAAACACCTCTGAGAGCCCAGCTCTTCCTCAAGTGATCTGAGAGTCAGGACAGTCTCCCTTGAGTTCCAAGTCAGTTTCACTGTGTCAGTAGCACCCACGCCCACCCGCCACCCCTCACCAAGCTGCTTGCCACTCGCTAGCTGGATGACCTTGGGTATGTCACCTATTTTTCTCCTTGCCTCGGTTTCTTCCCAATAAAATGGCGGGAGTCAACTAAGGTCCCTTCAGGCTCTACATCTATGACCCTTTGGCCCAATTCTGACCCCTCCATCAATCAGAGCTAGGTGAAGACTCAGAGCCCTCATTTTACTAATGGCATACGTAACAGAGGCTCATAGCGGTCAAACGCCCTGTGCAAGGTCACCCAGCTAAGAAGGCACACTGCTGGAAACTGAACCCAGATCTCCTCACTCACACACAGGCTCGAGAACAAGGTATCTTAACCTTGGCTCTGTGAACTTGAGAGTTCTTTTAAAAATATTTTTTGATAAATGCATTTCAATATAAATGGTTGCATTGATTAAGCAACTATCATGTGCCAGGCACTGTGAAAGGTGATGAGGGGTGCAAAGGTAGATAGACCCCGCTGACAAGGAGTTTACATTCTACCAGAGGAAAAACACATCTACATCATCCCAGTTGTTACTGGGGGTTTCAGCTTCTTGGGGAAGCTAATAGTGGAACTTTAAAGTGAGCCAGAGATTCCAAGAGGAAGAAGCAAGAAGGGAAGGTGTTTTCAATGTGGGGAACAGTCTGTGCAAAGGCACCAAGGTGGGATTTGGGAATATCAGTTTGGTTGGAGCAAAGAGTAGGAGGGGAACAATGTGCAATTAGCCTAGAAAGAGAGGCTGGAGCCAGACCACGCAGGGTTGTGGGCGCCAAACAGAGGGATTCGGATTTTATCCTAGAGATGACAGGGAACCTTGGACACTACTAAAGCTATCATTTAGAGGAGGAGGAAATGGAGGATTAGAGAAAGGAAATGACTTCCCCCAGGAATTAACTGCAGAAGTAGGAATAAAGTCAGGGTGCTCTGCCTCCAAATCCTGAGTTCCTTCCACGACGCCCTTCAGTCAGTCTGGCATGCGTACTTAGAGCCCAGACAACTTCAGTCTGACCCTTCCTCTTCTCTGTCTTCTCCTTACTTAGATTCATCCTGAAGGGCTTTGTACCTGATGGCCGAGATCTGTCAGACAAAGAAACCAAGACCCTCCTGGCTGCGGGGGATAAGGACGGTGATGGCAAAATTGGGGCTGATGGTGAGTAGTGATGGTGGGGCTGAGCACCGAGCACACCCTGGGGCTCCTTGAGTGTCTGGAGCCCTCTGGGGAAGGAGTGGAGGTCCCTGAAGCAGAATTCCAAGCCCAAAGGACAGATTTGCTTGGTGGCCAGAGATCAGAGAAAGCAGAGACTACCCCGTGCCCTTCCCCAAAGAAGCAGGGGGCTGCCACAGGGAAAAAAGGCATTGGGCTGAGTTGGATAGCCTAGAACTGAGACCTGGTCCAACTCTGTGACTATGCTCTGTGACCTTGGGCAAGTTACGTTCCCTCTCTGGCCTCAGTTTCCCCATCTGCAATATTAAAGATTGGACTATATGTCTTCTGTAGTCCCTACAAAACAGTTCTACGGGGTAAGTCATGAATTATTATCCACAGTTTGTAGACTAATAAATGGAGGCTAAGACTAGTTAAGTGACTTCCAATGGCCACATGGCTCCTAAGAATCACAGCACAGATGAATTCAGGAGCTCTTGAACCACATCTCCCAACTCCCAATTCACTGCTTTACCCCTTACACTATTCAGCATCCCTTCATTGTCTTTTTTTCAGTCTCTTTATCCTGACTGTTTCTGTGAGAATTGCTTTGCTGAGAAATGGGAAAGAAAGCCTATCCTGGCTTTAGCATCCAGGCTTGGTTTTGGAGTAGCCAATAATAGTACCTCTCCACTCCAGACTCCAGGAATATTTTTACCCTCTTTCCCACCAGTATCAGAGTTAAAGTAAAGAAGCAGAAAGATTGAGTAGCTGTGTGATTCTGGGTAAGTGGCTTAACTTCTGTGTGCCTCAGTTTCCTCATCTGTCAAATAAGGACTCTGAACTTGATGACATCTAAGGTCCCTTTCAGTGTGAAATCTACCATGCCAAGTAGGGGAACTAGCCCCAAAGAAAAGCTTCAGATTTGGTGCCCACTTTTTTATTATTTGGCTGACCATGCTCCTTCCCCACTGGTCTAGGCTGCCACAAAAACAGAGCTAGCCCCAGTTTCCTAGTTCCTCCCAAGCTCTGCCCATGTCACACTTGCCCCCTCTCTCATCGGCAGTCCATTTGGGCTGCTCCGAGGTGCTCAGAAAGGCTGGAATGGTTGACTGGGCATGAGTGCCTTCTGTGTGTTGCCTGAGAGAACACAGAGCAAGTGCTCGATCCACAGGCCCCCGTCCCTCCCTCTGTCTCTATCCTATGCTTTTGATACTAAAGACTCATTAATCATTTGGTGACCAGGGTGAAATTCTGCCTTCTGCAGCTGCTCAGGAGAATGAATCAGATATCCCTATCAGAGAAGCACAGAATGGTAGAGCTGGGAGGGGCCTCAGAGATCATCTGGTCCAAACCTCTCTTTTTAAAGGGGGAAACTGAGGCCCAGATGAAAGGAAGTAGTCCTGCCCAAAGTTACAAAGATAAAAAGTGATAGTATAAGGATTAGAATCCTGCTCTTTTGACTCCTAGTTCAACCATACCCTGCTGCTTCCCTTAAGCCATCCTTCCTCAACTTCCAAACTTCTGAGAGCAGTTCAGGAGATTGGAAACATTTGTAGCTCCACAAGGGGACCTTGGGCAAGTCATCCTCTCTCTCTGGGCCTCAGTTTCCTCCTCTGTAAAATGAGGGAGAGGATCTAAATGACCTCTGATGAGCCTCACAGCTCTGAAATGATGGTTCTGTGAGCCTAACTCCAACTTCACTTTGATTTCCTAGAGGTCTCAGGCTCCCTAGAAGAGCCTGGGAGCCCAAGAACATGCTTCAGATCAGGAGAGCAGAAGGAGAATGCTGAACTTGGAATCAGCAACCCTGAGTTCAAATCCTGACTCCACCACTTGCTACTTATTATGTGCCCTGAGACAAGTTATATGACCTTGGGCAAGCCAGTTAACCACTCTGTGACTCAGTTTCCTCATCTGTAAAACGATGAGTTGTATTCATCAGCTTCTAAGACCCTTCTAGCTCTAAATTTATGGCCCAATATTCCTAAATTACTTACCCTCTTTGAACCTCAGTTTCCTCATCCGTAAAACAAGGAGGGTAGATAAGATGACCTCTGATCTTCCTCCTACTTCTACAGCTATGATACTTCAGGTTTCCTTGAGACGAACAAGGGTTCATCTTTTTTTTTTTTATATGTGTGTCAGTGTCCTTGAGAAATATCCTTCTTTTAGGAAGCAGCCGGATGGAAGGTGGAGATAGCAGTGAATTGGGAGTCAGGAGGCTTAAGTCCAAAACCATCTTCTCCTACTAAGTGGCTCTGGGTCCCCGAGGTGAAGGGAAAGGAAGCAGCCAGACCTCTTCAGCCTCCTCATCTATAACTTCAGGGTTTTGGATTTAAATGGTCTCTAAAGCCCCATTCGGCTCTGACTTTCAATAATTATATAAGTGATCTAGCAGGTATACAGCTAGGTAAGAAGCAAACTAATTAGCATTCCCCACTCCACCCCTCGCTAGCTAGGCTCCTGACCTTGGACAGGTGGTACCCCCTCCTTTTCCCAGTCCATGACCCAGTTTCTCCAACAGGAGGAGGGGGCTGGCCACATTGGCCCACAGACAGTGTCCATGTTGCTCTTCAGTTCTCTGAAACCCCAACTCCTACAAATAACCCCTATAAATTAAGGGCTTATCTCTATTCATCGGTCAATGACAGTCATTTGCAGACATGCCTTAGCAGTGAATTCCCACACCCTGTTCTGGGAGGCAGGTCAAGACTGGACATATAGGTATTCTGAGCCCTGTTTAGGGGAAGAAGAAACTGAGATGGAAGAAATTGGCCCACTGTTTGGGTGGGGAGAAGGATAGGTCTGTAGAAAAAAAGGAAGGCTGGAATTGGAGGTAAGAGAGCCAGATGCAAATTGTAATTTGATTGCTAACTACCCTTGTGACCTTGGACAAGTGTTCCCATCTCTGGGCCTGAGTTTTCTCATCCCTAAAGCCAGGAGATTGGACTAGATATCTCTAAAGCACTTTCTAGCTCTTAACATTCTATGCTGTAAATATTCAATGTTCTAAGGTCCTTCCTCCCCTCCCCCCCCAGCTCTAACATTCTTGGTTCTAAGGTCCCTTCCAACTCTTTGAACATATTCTGTGTTTTAAGGTCCCCCATGCTCTGACATTCTCTGTTTTAGGATCTCTCCAGCTCTGACAGATCTAGCCCAAGGTCCCTTCAAGCTCAGAAATCCTACGTTCTAAGGTCTCTCTCCTCCCAGTTCTGACATCCCATTTTCTAAGCTCCAACATTGTGTGTTCTCAGGTCCCTTCCATCTCTAACATTTTATGTTCTAAGGCTGGCATCACAGTACCCAGCCCAGTATTTTAACCCCTAAAACTAGTGGCTTCCAAAGGTTTCAGACCCACAGCACCTTCTTCTGCTGGGCAGCACCTTACATATGTTTCACATAAGGGTCCTATGCCCAGAATCTCATAGCTGAACCAGACCTCAGAAGGCCTCCAGTCCTATATGTATCTGAGCAAGAAGGTTCTTTCTCTTTCTCTCTCTCTCTCTCTCTCTCTCTCTCTCTCTCTCTCTCTCTCTCTCCTCTAACAAGGGGTCATCTAGCTTCTGCTTTAAGATCCCTACTGAGATAGAACCTATTACCCTATGACTGTCTCTAGGCCTCAGTTTCCCAATCTCTCAGATCTATAAAATGAGGGGGCTTCCCAACTATGACAGTCTACACAAGGTATTCATTTCCATGATAATAACAACACCTAGCAAGTATTCAGCACCTGGTGCATGTCAGGAACTGTGCTAAGCATTTTACAATGATCTCATTTGATCTTAACAGCAATCCTGGGAGGCTGGTACTTTTAATGTCCCCATTTTACTATTAGGGAAACTAAAGCAAATGGAGGTCAAGTGACTTGCTGAGGGTCATACAGCTAGTAAGCGTCTGAGGCTCAGTTGGAACTGAGGTATTCCTGACTCCAGGCCCAGTGCTCTATCCACTCTGCTATCTCACTGCCACAATAAGTACATAAGACAGTTATAAGCACAGCTCAATGAGAGTTGGCTGAGGGGATCTCTAAGGCTCCTTCTAACACTGAGATTCTGAGAGAGGAGTGAGGAAGGAAATCCATGTAGCTGTGGGTAGTAGCTTTGGGCTGTATGATAAATAGCAAGAATGATAATGCCTTGGCTGTGTGTATGTTATAAAATCTAAAAGCGAGAGAGACAGAGACAGAGACAGAGACAGAGAGAAAGACAGAGAGAGAGAAGATTCACACAGGATATTTGTGCCCTTTGCAAGTCAGTCTGATGAAGCCTATGGACCTCTTTTCAGATGCTTTTAAATAATTGAAAGAAATATTCCATTTCAGTTAGAGGTCAGTCAAAGTAAAGCTGTTATTTTTCCCTTCCAAGTTCCTGGATCCCCTGAAATCTATCCACAGACTCCTTGAGGGTTCATGGACCCCAGGTTAAGAACTTTGATCTAGTCTAGTCCTTTGACTATAGATTAAGACATGGAGGCCCAAGGAGACCTGGCAGTTTGTCAAAGGTCACACAGGTACTGACTAGCCAAGACAGCATTCAGTTCCTTGTCCTTGAACTCTAGATTGAGCCTTCTTTTCAAGGTGCTTCTCCTGCCTCTTCTTTCATGGCCCAGTGAGGTGGTCAGGGGCTGGAATTCTTATACCCATTTGGCAGATAAGCACATAGAGACACAGCAAAGTCAAAGGATTTCTCCAAGGTCACCCAGCCAAACCAGAAGTGAGGCCAGAACTCAGATCCCCTGACTCCTTCATGCCTTCCACTGAGGCAGAGCCTAAATTAGAGAGTTAGTAATGGTATAAGTGCAGAGCTGGTGGCTCATTCATATTCCCAGGTGGACTTGCATGCAAGACATCTTGTCTCTGCACCAGATAAGATGTAGCCCAGGGAGCAGGAGATGTCATTATGTAACTAGTCTAACTGAAGTTAGGAGGAATGAAGACACTTTTTCTTTCTGTATTGCTTCCCCCATCTCCTCCAAATAATTAAGCTAATGGAGTCATTTGTCTC